CCTTTTACCTGTCAACAGTGTGGAAAACGTTTCAAACGAAAAGGAAACCTTAAGTACCACATGAGAATTCACACTGGAGAAAGCCCTTTTACCAGCCAACAGTGTGGAGTAAGTTTCACTCAAAAAGGGATTCTCAATAGGGACATGAAAATTCACACTGGGGAGAAGCCTTACACATGCCCTCAGTGTGGAAAGGGTTTTCATCAACATAGAAACCTTAAACTCCACATGAAAGTTCATACAGTAGAAAGGCCTTTTACCTGCCAGCAGTGTGGAAAATGTTTCAAACGAAAAGGAAACCTTAATTATCACATGAGCGTACACACTGGAGAAAGCCATTTCACCTGCCAGCACTGTGGATTAAGTTTCACTCAAATAGGAAGCCTTAACAGGCACATGAGAATTCACACTGGAGAGAAACCTTACTCATGCTCTCAGTGTGGAAAGTGTTTCGATCAGCATGGAAATCTTAAAGTCCACATTAGAATTCACACTGGAGAGAAACCATACACATGCCCGCAGTGTGGAAAAAGTTTTGATCAACATGGAAACTTTAAAATCCACATGAAAATTCATACAGGAGAAAACCCTTTTACCTGTCAACAGTGTGGAAAAAGTTTCAACCGAAAAGGAAACCTTAAGTACCACATGAGAATTCACACTAGGGAAAAGACTTACACATGCCATCAGTGTGGAAAGAGTTTCGATCAAAATGAAAAGCTTAAAGTACACAAGAGAATTCACACTGGAGAAAGGCCTTTTACCTGCAAACAGTGTGGAAAACGTTTCAAACGAAAAGGAAACCTTGATTACCACATGAGCGTACACACTGGATAAAGCCCTTTTCACATGCCATCAGTGTGGAAAGAGTTTCGATCAAAATGAAAAGCTTAAAGTACACATGAGAATTCACACTGGAGAGAAGCCTTTCATCTGCAAACAGTGTGGAAAGGGCTTTACTCAAAAGAGATGCTTAACATGCACATGAGAATTCACACTAGAAAGAAAGAGTTTGTCAACATAGAAACCTTAAAGTTCAGATGAGAAATCATACTGGAGAGACCCCTTTATCTGCCAACAGTGTGGAACTTTCGGCAGAAGTTAACTTTGAAAATGAATCCATATCTGGCTCATGAATACTCAAAACAGAAAGAAGCCATTTACATGTGATTAGTGTGGAGTTTCAGATAAATGTTACCCTTAAGCTCAATCCTTGAGGATTCACTTAAGAGCGAATGCCATCAAAGTGTTTCCTGTCTGTGAAATCCCTACCTCTTTGAAGTCATGTGATAACTCTCATCTGAAAGTCTGAAATGTCATCACTGTGGAAAGACTTGCAGAAACAAAGCAAATCTTGAGGTTCACACTGGAGATAAACTTTTCACTTGCCCCCAGTGTGGGAAGAGTTTCAACCTTAAAGGAAACGTTAGCATTCACATGAGACTTCACACTAAAGAAAGTATTTCACGTGTGTTTAGTATGAAGAGTTCTATCAAAGAGCCCTGAAATGTGGAGTGCTGCTCAGTGTGGCAAAAGGTTTACGAAAAAAAGAGCAATTTCAGTTATCAGTTGTGCATTCATTCTGGAGGAAAACTATGCAAGATGTGCAAATGTGAGACCCTATTTGTGTTATTTGTGATGTCATTACTCATGAAAATACACATTGTTAGTTATATTTAAAAATGTGTTTTCACTAGTTGTTACACCCCAAGTTTGGGACCAGTTTAAGACTTGCAAAGAGAAAAAATGTTGCAATGGCCAGGGGGAAAAGATAAACAAGAATGAATATGAACATATTTTTATATCCCAGGGCATAATATTATTTGTTGTTGTTTTATACTTTGATTGCCATACTATGGATATACAGTTGCAATCAGAAATATTCAACCCTCTCACCTCAAAAGACATTATGGTGATATCGATGAACAATCATGACAATAAATGACAAAAAACCTCATTAAACAACAAAAAATATTTATTGATACATATTTGAGTTAATTTGACAACAGAAGTTGACTTAACATTGAAGTTCAAATGAAAAATGTAACATTTTTAACAAGTGCATGTGCAGTATTATTCAACCCCCAGCTTCAGTAGTTTGTGGAGCATCCTTTAGCTTTTATAACTTCTAACAAATGTTTTTGGTAAGTGCTGACAAGCTTCTTACACCTCTCTATCAGAATCTTTGCCCATTCTTTGCCAATTTGCCCAGATTTTCAGATTTAAATCTGGTCACTGAGAAGGCCACTCCAGGACGTTCCAGGATCTTTTTCTCAACCAAGCTTTGGTTGACTTGGAGGTGTGCTTGGGATCATTGTCTTGCTAGAAAGTCCAATGATCACCAAGGTTTAATTTGTCAACAGAAGGCATCATGTTCCTCTTTAAAATGGCCTGGTATTTCTGGGAATCCATGATGCCAGGTACACGATCAAGATTGCCAGTTCCTGCTGCAAGAACAGCCCCACATCATCAATGAGCCACCTCCATGCTTGACCGTGGGGATGGTATTTTTCTGGTCATAAGCCCGGCCTTTCACATGCCAGAAATACCGTTGGTCCAAATGTCCAAACCGTTCCAGTTTGGTTTCATCAGTCGATAGAACTGTCTCCCAAAACTCTGAAGTCTTATCCAAATTCCTCCTGGCATATTCTAGTCAACTTTTGATGTTCCTTGTGGTCAAGAGTGGAGTGCGTCTTGGAGTCCAGCCATGAAGTCCTTGTTTATTCAGTGCATGTCTTATAGTTGCTCTTGAAGGACTTGTACCAGCCTTCATTAGGTCATCCTGTAGGTGTCTTGCAGTCACACAGAGGTTTTTCTTAGTTGTCCTGACTAAGTTGGTACAGGCCCTTGATGAAATTCTGGGCTTTCTTCCATGGCCAGGCATGTTTGCAGCTGTTCCATAAGTTTTAAACGTTCTTATAATGCTCCCAATTGTGTCTTGGAATGTAAAAAATGTTTATACCCAAGGCCCTACAGGTGTGATGAAATAATCTCTTCTCTCAGCTTTTGTGGAAGCTCCTTTGTCTTTCCCACGATTGCAACTCACCTTGAATACCTTCATGGGTGGGGTTTATATATGCAGCACAGCTGAAGCAAGTCAAGGATGATTATAGAGCTCCCAAAGGCTTAATTATGTTGCAACTCCACTTTATGCCATAAAATGTCAGAAAGCTTTAAAAAAATCAATATTATATAGTGGTTGAATAATTGTGACATTGCTATCTTAACAAAATATCCTGTTACACACAAATACTACATCATGCATTTTCTGTGTTGACTTTGTGTCACTCAACTCATAAAGAAGTCATCCAACACAGAATCTTGTTCTTTGAAAAAACTTTAATTGATAAATCCTTAATCTTTGAATATTTTGATTGCAACTGTACACGTTGTTGTGCATATACTGTGTGTGTATACCCATTCTTTTATGTTGCAACAATTGGGGGCTTGTCTATTAACAACAATTGGAAACTTATCCTACATTTTGATAACTAGGGGTGGGCTTACCAAGTTTTTGTTATTCAGAGGTTGTTTTGTTATGCTTGCTTGGAGGTCATGTTGGTGAGATATGGATTTGGATTTAGTAATGTTTAAAGTATGTCCTGCATTAGTAGAGTTTAATTGTTGAAAAAATACTTGATAATTGCTTGACTTAAAACTAAAGAAAAACATGAGACACAGCTTCGAAGCTAAAACCCTCTGTAGAATGCCAGTTCTTACTCCTAAGTCCAGACCACCTTTAGCTAGTGTTGGGGAGACGGTGAAGTCTGACTTTGACAAGTATGTAAGGTTAGTGCAGTGATCCTCAAATCTGGCTTGCGAGATCAACTTTCCTGCAGAGTTTAGCTCCAACCCTAAACAAACAAACCTCCCTGTGATTTTCTAATGATCCTGAAGACACTGATTAGCAAACTCAGGTGTGTTTGATTAGGGTTAGAGCTAAACTCTGCAGGAAAGTGGATCTTGTGAGCCAGATTTGAGAATCACTGCATTAGTGCATCATTTTCATTTAAAACACATTGTGTATTTTATCACATTTGAAAGTGTAGATACTAAGCCAGTGGTGTCCAAACTTGGTGATGGAGGGCCACTGTCCTGCAGAGTTTAGCTCCAACCTGCCCCAACACACCTGTCTGGAAGTTTCTAATATGCCTAGTAAGACCTTGATTAGCTGCTTCAGGTGTGTTTAATTGGGGTTGGAGTCAGGGGCGTTGCTAGACATAAAGCTCTACTGGGGCACAGGCCCCCCATTACTCATATCACTTATCTTTCTTGAAAGCCAGTTGCGTGATGTGTACAATGAACCATGTAATCCACTATTCCTACGCTGCAACAAGTACTAGGGAAAGTAAATGTATACATTAACGCTTTATGAATATATTTATTTAAGTGACTTCATCATACTTCACAAACATTCTCAACATGTTTTAAGGCAATCAGTGTATATAGAAATAAAACTAAAGAGAACTTGCACATTGTTTTTCTTGCACATTTGCATTCTTCTACATTACACAATAATAATAATGAATAATTTCATCTTTAAAAAAAAAACTTAGAATTACAACATTTCAAGAAACCAGTCATTTTATGACAAAAACTATAATAAAGAACATTTGTTAAAAAAAAAAAAAAAAAAGATAAAGTATTTCCCAGTTCCTCAGCCAAGTCCAAATTACATTGGTTCATTTGAGCATTAAACTGTACCGCAAAACAGTCAATCACTTGACTCCAACTCAATTTACAAAGTTCTTCTCTCTCAACTGATAAGACGGCAAGATGGTGAAGCCTTCCTTGTCCCATTGTGTACCTCAGCCAAGTGTGGAGCCGTCTCAGCACACTGAATGACCGTTCACAATGACAACTATTGACTGGGATTGTCCGAGATATCTGCATAACCCGTGCCAAGGTTGGGAACATGACTTTATCCAGCAACTTGTAATCACACTGTATATCCTTAATTGGATGGCTTTCCTTTTTGTGAGCCAGATAGTTTTTAGCCACTGAAACCTCCTCCGATTTTAGATCTACACTGTAATGATCTGCCAGACCTCGGAGGTGCTCCTCACAAAGAAAGCTATCAGATCCAGGATTACAGGCCTGAACACCTCAATATTTGGTCATTAAAGGGGTCCTATTATGCTCTTTTACAATGTCTTGAATTAGTTTTGGGGGTGTACTAGAAAATGCTCTAATGCTTGGTGGTTCGAAAAACGTATTATTTTTCACATAATTTACATTATTACAATACCTTTCTCCCCAGTCTGGCACAAGCGGCTCGATTAGTTCCGAAAAAACGAAATGTGATGTGATTGGTTAGCTGTCCCAGTGCGTTGTGATTGGCGAACAGCTTAGACGGTGTTTCAGTACTGCCCCGCCCCTTGCCAAAGCAGCAAGTTTAGTTAAGGATGGCGTCAATATTCCCATAATAATTTAAGCCGGATTCAAACCCAGAGAATATTGAACAAGAGGATCGCGCAGAACTTTTGCACGCACGGATATTGCAAGACATATTAGAGTGGTAACGGTATTGTTTTTTTTTTGCTAATAGGATGTCAACAACCGCTTAAAAATAACTGCATTTACTATGTACAGATAAGTGCATATGTTTTATTTTTATTGTTATTTAATTCTAACATTATAACATGAATTGTAGTGAAACTGTTCCCGCAATTGTGCGGGAAAACTGTGACCCTGGCGACACTGCTCGCTGCTGTACTTTGAGAAAGCTGTCGAATGTTTTGTTTCATAATGACGATGGATATTGTACTCTTTTAAAACAGCAACAGACTGTTTGAAAACTAGACATACTGCATTTGAATTGACTTTAATGAATAAAAAGTCATCTTGTCAAACTTTGTTAATTCGTTGACATTAATTGACTTTGAGTGTCGCAAAGCGCGGCGCTGCACCTTGAATTGCACATGTACAGTTTTAAAAAAAATCTGATTAATTTACATTACATTTAATTTAAACATTTAATTTCAGTTCATTTTTTTGTAGCTCAACAATAGTCGCAAAGCGCGGCGCTGCACCTTGAATTGCACATGTACAGTTTAAAAAAAAATCTGATTAATTTACATTACATTTAATTTAAACATTTAATTTCAGTTCATTTTTTTGTAGCTCAACAATAAAAAAAATGTATGTTAAATTAGAAATGACGATCTGTGTCAAAGGCATTCATTAAAAGGCTCATTACCGTAATCATTACAATATACTGGACAAAAATCAACATCCTTATGCATTCATCAGGAATAATTTTAATGAAAGTTTCGGATTTAACCAAAAAAATCGATAATATTTCAAGCTCTATAATGCAATAAACGTGGTGGGTCTGCAAAAAGACTTTCCCCCAATGGATCACTTTTCAGTATGTGCCACTGTTTCTTAATCACATCCTTAATGGCTTGACTGTGTGCAGAATAAGTGGTAGTACAAACTACAGAATGAGACTTTTTTTTGTTGCTTGATATAACAGATGCATCTCGTACTTTCTCTAAAGCGCATCCAACCATTTTTTGGATAACCCCTAACACATACATTTTTACGACTTGTTCAAAATCTGATTCTACATTACAAATACGCTTTAAATTGAGAAATTGAGTATCCACCTTATTCCTAAACGTGGAAGCCTATGGGCGAGACTTCTGGTTCATTAGCTGCTGTAGGGAAATAATGAGAAAAATAACAATGCGCAGTAAATGGTAAAACTGTTTGCACTATAAACCAGTGTGTTCATAATCAAGATAATACGCTAAAATAATATGATAAGACACACCAATTTGCAATATCAAGCTGCAAAATGAGCGGTTTTGTACAGCTAAAAATAGCTGGAAGCAAATGAGACCGGAAGCAAGACCCATAAAATTTACAAATGGATCACTTTTAAGTATGTACATAAAGAATAAGGTGGATCGGGTAAGCCTTTCTTCAAAAAAGATGAATGAGCACTTGCAGCATGAAGAATACTGTTTTTATCAGTTGGTTTGGAATATAAAAGTCAACAAAGTTCCTAATTCTAATCAGATCCTAGTGTCAAGAAAAATGACAGAATGAGTAACGATTTCCACATTAAACCTGATAGAATCCACCATATTATTTAAAAGCTCAACAAATTAATCAATGTTTACGGGACAAAACATGATTTTTTCTTTAAAAGTTGGGACACTAAAAATAGAGCTGAAATACAGGACAGTATTTGAAACACAATGGTAAGTGGTGGTAAAAATACACATTTTGTCAGTAAATACAACGCAGCACAACAGAGAAATAAGAACATTTCTGTCATGACAACTCTCGGCAAGAATTTCACAAACAAGAATTTTGGCCTTTTGTGAATATTTAATTAGATAATTACTTATTTGCATATTTCTTCATGTAATCAAACAACTGTGGAATCATGGTGATATCTATCAGTTACCTTTTTACCCTATTCACCTTTGGTGTCTTGCCTTAAAATAAATTTCTGTCATGACAACTCTCTGAGGGATTGGCATGGTAATGTACATGACAATGTTAATGTATTTGGTCTTGGCGGAATAGATTGGTGCTGCTGCTGCGGCAGAGCAAGTACTGAGACTTGCTACTGCTAATACATCCACAACATGCTGCTGTGAGCATGTAAGAAATACTGCTGCTGCAAATATAACATACATGAAATAACCCCCATATAGCATACAAGAATCACCTTGTAACAGATCTATACAGGTGGAGCTGGGGAAGGTGGAGGGTTTCTGTATATTAATTATAAATGAAATAGCTGTGTTGATTATTATATTTACAAATAAATAAGTTTAAGTTTATTGGGTTAAGTTGTTTATTGTAACGTTACATTGTAAAAGGGCTCCCTATAAAGCATAAGCTGAGGTAGATTTTTATCACTAAGAAAATTTAAATTATAACTGAATGTATTTAAAGAAAGAGCAAGTTTATTAAGTAAGTTAATTAAAAAAAAAAGTTTTCCCCCTGCTGTACCGAAATCATTCCGAACCATGACGTTAAAACTGAGGTATGTACCGAACCATCATATTTGTGTACCATTACACCCCTAGACAGGCATGAAATTATACAATAAAAAAGGTATTAACCCAGTCAATAGCCTTGTCACGGTGTGCCTACGGTGAGGAGCGAGGAACAAGGAACGAGGAGAATGCAGGAGAATCAGGATTAACAGTCTTTATTGACATCACAGGAATCACACGTAGGACATGGGGATCGACGTTCAACACCAGACAGAAAACTCAAAACAGGAAACACCTTAAATACACAAGACATGATGAGGGGAAGACGAGAAACACCTGGGATCAATAAACATAATAGGAACAGGAAACAGGAAGGACCAAATATGGGCATGGACATAACCTGGAGCACGTGGAGGAGAAAACACACACGAAACACAGAACGGAGTCTGACATTACTCCCCACTCCCGGAAGGCGCGTCCCTCGCCGTAACAATTCCACTAGGGAGGGGGGGGGTAGGCACCCTGGAGGCTGGTGCAGGACTGGGACATGGGGAATACCTCCAGGGCAGATCAGGCAGTCCAGGGTGCCATGGCGGAGCAAGGAGCTCAGGAAGCCATGGCGGAGCAGACAGACTAGGAAGCCATGGCGGATCAGACAGTTCAGGAGACCATGGCGGAGCTGACAGTTAAGAAGGCCACGGTGGAGTAGGGATCCCCCCAAAAAAAATCCTTGGGGAGAATATCGTCTTTAGAGGCCATCCATAGGCCTAACTCGGGAACTGTGGCCCTCACTGGGCTTGACTTGTGGACTGGAGCCCTCCTTGGGCTGGACATGGGTACTGGAGCCCTTTCTGTGCTAGACACGGGGAATGGAACCTTCTCTGGGCTAAACTTGGGGACTGGAGCCCTCTCTGGGCTAAGCTCGGGACCCGGAGCCCTCCGTGGGCTAAACTCGGGAACAGGAGCCCACTCTGGGCTGGATTCAGGGACTGGGAAGCGCTTACGAGGAGCTGGCACTGGAGGGTGCTCTGGAGGAGCAGGCACAGCAAGGCGCTTTCGAGGAGCTGGCACTGGAGCAAACTCAGGGGCTGGAGCCGACACTGGAGCGAGCTCTGGGGCTGGAGCCGACCACATTCTCCTCCTTAGATACCCCTTTAGGTTCGGGGTGAAAGGTGTGGTCGGTGGGCTAGACTGAGGAACCGGAACTTAATAGGAACAGGAAACAGTAAGGACCAAATATGTGCATGGACATAACCTGGAGCACGTGGGGGAGCAAAACACACACGAAACAGAGAACAGAGTCTGACAAGCCTAGCCTGGATAGTCACCTAACTGTGAAAGTTCTTTTAGTCCACACAAACCACAACAATCATCTTTTGAATCTATTGTATAAAAAAGGGAGTAAATAAATAAATATAGTAACATTATTGCACTTCAATATTTCACTTCTGTTGCGTGAAAAGCATAAAGTACACATTTCCTCATCACATTACCTGAGGCTGAAAGCACTCAGCCATTTCACTCCAGAGTTCTGAAATTGCTGTTTTTAAGGCATTGATGTCAAAGACATCAGGAATATCTGGAAGTTGTGCATTTGTCTGTTTTGCCATCTGTAGGATTTAAAAGAAATCTTTCTTGGTAAGATCACTTACACCCCACAACTGGTGTCATCCTTTTGAAATGTGTCATTTATTAGATCTGCCTGCCATTTGATGCCAGTCCATTCTTCTTTTCCAAGCCTGTTTCGTCGCATTCTGACGTAATCCCTGAAAGAATAACTGATACTGGTCATATCCACAATTCCTCAATGCTATTTGAAGTGTAAAATTTCTGGAGTTTACAGCTTGTCTTGAATCTTCAAGGTCATCAAATATAGGAAATGTGTGTGTGTGTTCTTATTAATTCATTTATTGAAAATGTAAAAATGTATACCGTTTTCGGTGAGCGTTGTGTTTAGGGGATAAGATAATAAATTCATTCATGCAGTTAGAATCATTGTATCTTCATGCTCTGGGCTAAATAATAAAACAAATGGATAAATAAATGCTCAGGTGGTTGTTGGAAATTATTTTCTCCCGTCTCTATCAGCTTGCAATGTTATATCATTTTTGTAAACACGAAGTATGTGTTTCTAACTGAAACTGGGTTCTCAGAGAACAGTCTTCTCATGTTGTGAGGAAATATGCATATTTATTAAGGCAAGTAAAAACGTACAAAAAACTTTCTGTACAGTAACTTTTTTTTTTTACATAGATGCTTTCACTTGAACAATATAATCTGCTAAGTGTCTGTCAGAAGTGACCAAACTTAAGTCTGCATTCTGAAACATTCAGGAATTTAATTGTATTTCCCCTTTATTTTCTCGTCTGCTCTCAAAGTACACATGAAAGTTAAAGGGATATAGCATAAAGCATGAACAATGTTTTGCAATTTTCTGTGCAGTTTCTGTGCACTCTTGTGATTTTAGATAACTCGACTCCAAACAGGACTTTTATTTTGGTCTTGGGATGTGTGACGTCATAAGCCCGCGCGCCGCGCTCCTGCGTCTGTTATGATCCGGCTGCAGAAAGGTTGGTGTTTCTAAGCATTTAAAGCGTTTCATTCATACAAAGCCGTTCGTGCAGTTGTATAGCTTTTAAAAGCGATGTAAATGGCGTAATTATACAGACTGTAACACTAATGCTTCATCTAGTTACGTTAATGGACGTTGTTTTTAACAGCGTCAGGTAAAGCGCTCCCGCGCATGAGTAACAGAAAAGGAACTCTAAATCGTGAATCAGTTTATTGTAAACACGAGTTCAGTCACTCGTACGCACTGATGGAGAAACAGAGCTGTTTAAATCTCCGAGTCAAATGATTCACAAAATGATTCAGTGATTCGAATCATAACGCGCTGACGTCACACGCTGCTCTAAACAGTGAATGCAGCGAGAACAACAAACATTATAATGACAATCTTAACACTTCAATCACAATAGTGTAATATTTTAATATAATTTACTATTAAATACTGAATTTAAACAAAAAAGTGAGTGTACATTTTTCCCCCATTCTTCTAAATTGAATTTTTAATTTTTTAATAATTAGGTGATTTAAGGCTGTTAATTAAGACTAATGAAATGAACTCTGACTCCCTCACCAGTGTGCTGACTACTGAACTAGGGCGCTGATCGAGACACATCCAGAGATTTAGTTTGCATTTATTTTTCTCTCTGTTCATTCTTCTCATCTTGAACACACAGATAAACTCGACTGAGATCCACGTGTCACGCTGTTATAAACTATTAAAAAGATGGCGTTTATTAAAGAGGAGAGTGAAGACGTGACGATTGAAGAAGCTGTCAGAATCAAATGAGAAGATACTGTGGAACAAACAGGTTGGTTTTCATTCTCAAAGCTGAAATCTCTCATTTGATCTTTATTAAAATGTCCAGCTCTACAGAAATGAATGATATTTTTTGAAGAATGTCATATGACTGTCGTAAGAGATCACATGATCATACAAATATTAATGCTGCTTTCACTTGCAGATCCTGCATACAAGTTGAGCGCACATTATTATGGCATCACACATTAACATAAAAAAAAAATAATATTTTGTGTTACATTAAAGCTTTAACATCCGGACTAAGAACAATGAAATGAGGGAAAAAAGTTCTTTGCGTTTTTATTTTGTTGGGGCAATACTACCCTACTATATAAAAATGCAGTGCAATGCAAAAACAAAAAAATTGCTGAGAAGTCACTTTATGATAAATACATTGCAAGCAACAGTTATAAACCACAAAGCTTTCAAACTGTCTTCTGCATATGTTTATGGAGCGACAGCTTATATTTACAGTGTTTTGCAGCATTGTAGCCAATCACAGACATGTCTGTTAAACACACATTAACGCAATCAGAGGTGTTCAAGTTCAGAGTCCAAACAGATCAGGGCTTGTTTATTGACTGAGTTCTGCATGCTCAGAAATAGAGATGTGCAATTAATCGAAATGCAGATTCTGTTTCAGCCTCCAACGATTATGAAAATACAATAATCGAGATAAAACGATTATTGCGCCACATTCAGCCCCCCTTTCCAGCTCTCACTCCTCCATAAAAGCCCAATTTCACGTGCAAATCAGTAAAATCATGTAATGTTAAAGTTATTAAAGTTGGTTAGATTTATTCATGTTTTTAAAGCGTGAAAGAGAACTTGCGCTGTTCCTCGGGAGGATTTCTAAAAGTCAGCATGGACCCATAAAGTCAACTTTTAGCTCAAGGTGTGCGCTTAAACGGTCAAATACAAGCATAAATATGTCAAAATGCAGTGCTTGGTGATTATTCACCCTCGTCGGTTATGTAATACATGAACTTAAATAGTTGAGAATGAAAACACGTGTGTAACAGTAAATTGGATCTGTGCGGCTCTTAAAGTGACAGCAGCCTAATATTCCTGCTGCCGACTGTGTGTTTAATATTAATCAAACAACAAAGGACAAAGAGAAAATCACTCATTGCTATTGAGAGAAGGACTTTTGTAGCTTTAATAAGAAAAAAAGCAAGTTTAATTCTTACAGTGAAGATTATGCTGTTTTGTTTTACATTTGATTATTCAATTTCTGTAGTAGGCTGCTATCTGAAAACTTTAGACTTGTTAACTTTAGACTTGCTTTGTATCTTTTTTTTCTTATTGTTTTTGTCCTTTGCTTCTTTTATTTTTATTGTATTACTAATAGTTTAGCCTAATTACCGTATTGACCCAAATATAAGATGACCCCCCTTTTTCAAGATGTACCTTTTGGAAAAAGCTTTTTGAAAACCAAATCTTGTGTTTTATTAACAAAAAACAACCAAAAAAAAAATGTTTTCTTAAATTATTTTCATATTTCATATTTTTTCCTATTTTAATTTTTGTTTTGAATGTATGGTAAATACTGGTAAAAAGTACCATCAATCACATTTAAAAATATACACTTTTTGATATACCTTAAAAATAACAGGTAGCCCGTCTGAATTATATAACAATTAGGCTATCCATCTCATAATAGCCTACCAAAATTTCATTATCAGTAGAAGTGAAATTTACTGTAGCCTTCAAATCTGGGTACTGTCTTAGGTTTTAAAATCACTTACAGAGGAAGTTTGGTCCCATCAGGCAAACATGACAGTCACGACTCTGTAAGCTTTTCTTTTTCTTTTGTTTTCACTCGTGATGTTCTAACATTACAACACACATTACTTCTTGACACACTCGTTTTATGCGTAACCTATTGTTGTGGGTGTATTATTGACATGTCAAAGTCTAGACCTTGAATATAAGACGACTGCGTTTTTTCAGATGTATTTCCAAGAAAAAAAACGTACTCGGTTAGTAACGTAACCTAAGTTCCCTGAGAATACCGCCCCGTTCCCTGAGTCGTGCACCTACATAGCACGGCCAGCAACGCAGTACTCGTTCCCGTATCTCAGAGAACCGAGGTTACGTTAGTAACCAAGTATGTTCCCTATCGATACTTCACTCGTACTGCGTCTGCTAAGAACCTATGGGGAACCAGTACAATTCCGCCGTGCTATGTTAGAGGAACTACCAATGTTTGAACTTGTCTTGAGCACCAAAGGGGCCAAGTAATTGCAGGGAGGCCCCGCAAGAGGCGATAGGGCCAAACTCACAGACGTCGGCCCGATGCTGAGTAATCGTTCTAAGATAAATCGTACAGCCTCGGAACCCAGTGGGGGCCAAGAGCGTACAGAGAGGGCAAACGCCTGAGCACTGGTTTTGCTATAAGCCCGATTAAGCAGAAAGGACCCAAGCCTGTAAGGCCAGGACATCCAGATTATAAAACCCGGTAAATGTGGACGGCGAGGCCCAGCCAGCCGCCGCACAAATTTCTGCAATGGACACACCGTTAGTCCAAGCCCAGGAAGAGGCAACGCCTCTTGTTGAGTGGGCTCTTACTCCCATGGGACATTGCAGGCCCAAAGAAGAATACGCTAGCTTGATAGCATCAATTATCCATTTAGAAAGTCTCTGCTTCGTGACCGGAGACCCTCTGGTGCGGTCACCGAAGCATATAAAAAGCTGATCTGACTGCCTGAACTGGGCGGAACTCTCAATATATATTCTCAATGCCCTGACAGGGCAGAGTAAATTCAGCTCTTGGTCCTGCTCAGAAGGAGGAAGCGCCGAAAGAGCTATTACCTGTGCTCTGATTGGAGTTGATAGCACTTTAGGTACATAACCATGCCTCGGCTTCAGGTCGACCTTGGAGTCGTTGGGCCTGAATTCGAGGCAGGTGGGGCTCACCGAGAGCACCTGCAGATCTCCCATATGCTTTACCGATGCTAATGGCAGTAGCAGAGCGGTCTTTAGCGGCAGGGGACGAAGGTCAACGGATTGTAGCGGCTCGAAAGGAGGGCTCTTCAGAGTCCTCAACACTGTGAGCAGGTCCCATGTAGGGACGGTGACAGGGCGAGGCGGGTTGAGATTCCTAGACCCCTTCAAAAAGCGAACAACTCGGTTGTTCCTGCCCACCGACTGGCCAGCTATAGGAGCGTGTGAAGCAGCTATGGCTGCTACACAGACCTTGAGCGTGGAAGGGGAGCGACCCTTATCCAACAGTTCCTGCAGGAAGGACAGTACCAGAGATATGTCACAGGAAATAGAGTCTGCGCCGCAGGTCATACACTAGGTGGAGAAGACAGACCATTTAAGGGTATTGAGCCGCCTTGTAGAGGGTGCTCTAGCCTGAGATACTGTGTTTAGCACGCTCTCGGGGAGGTCCGCAGGCTCCCATCGAGAGGCCAGAGGTGCAGAGCCCACAGCTCGGGCTGCTCTTAGCGAACGCAAGTTGAGCTGAGCCCATTCCAGGAGGCACTCTACCAGAATGAAGAGGCGCTTCGAGGAGAGACCGCCCTGGCGATTTATATATGATACCACTGTCATGCTGGCTGAGTGGACTAGCACGTGGTGTCCCCTAAGGTCTGGCAGAAAGGTGCGAAGGCCCAAACATACTGCCAGCATTTCCAGGCAGTTGATGTGAAGCTGACTCTCCTCTTTCGAGCAATAGCCGAAAGCTGGTTTTCCATCGCACAGAGCTCCCCAACCCGTGTTGGAAGCGTCTGTTGAGACCACCTTCCTTCTGCAGACCATTCCCAGGGGCACGCCCCGTTCCATCCACTGAGAGTCTTTCCCCACTCCTCTGAGGGGACGTTGCTCCGAGATAGCATGTCTGCTCCCTGGTTCAACCTGCCCGGCACATGCGCTGCCCTTGGCAAACGCAAGTTGTCTCAGCCAAATATTGTCCTATCCTAACAAACCATACATCAATGCAAAGCTTATTTATACAGCTAAAATGTTGAAGAATTGACACTTAAGACTGGATTTGTGCTCCAGGGTCACATATTTGTCCAATTTGGTGGCATTTTGCCCCAAGCCCCCATTAATTTCAGACCCGTGGCCAGGGGAAGGCTAAGCCTGGCCCGGCCTTACACACGCTCCGCCTATGAGCTTAATAGGAATAGGATCTAGTTGAATGTTGGTTTTGATGTCTGTTGCTTTGTGCCGTTAAGCAGGGATTAACTTTTATTTGTGTTTCCTTGCCTTAGACCTGATGGCACTGAAAGAAGAGCATGAAGTACTGAATGAAATCAAAGAGGAAGATCAATACACAGATCACCATGATTTCAAAACTGAAGAACAATCTTTTAGTTGTTCACAGACTGAAACAACTTCCATACAGGAAAGGGCTCAAAAGACAGGAAATATAAGTTATTTCTCCTGCCAAGAGTGTGGAAAGAGTTTCACTCATAAAGGAAGCATTAACAGGCACATGAAAATTCACACTGGAAAGAAGCCTTACTCATGCCCTCGGTGTGGAAAGGGTTTTCACCAACATGGAGGCCTTAAAGTCCACATGAGTATTCATACAGGAGAAAGGCCTTTTGCCTGCCAACAGTGTGGAAAAAGATTCAAACGAATAGTAAACCTTGATTACCACATGAGAGTACACACTGAAAAAAACTCTTTCACTTGCCATCAGTGTGGAAAAAATTTTAGCCGAAAAGGATCCCTTGATTACCACATGAGAGTGCACACTGAGAAACCCTACACATGCCCTCACTGTAGAAAGAGTTTCAGCCAAAAAGGAAAATTTGAATACCACATAAGAAACCACACTAGAGAGAAACCCTACATATGCCCACATTGTGGAAATGGTTTCATTCAAAAAGGACACGTCATAGACCACATAAGAATTCACACTGGAGAGAAGCCTTTTACCTGCCAACAGTGTGGAAATAGTTTCCGCCAAAAAGGATGCCTCAACAGGCACATGAAAACACACATTGGAGAGAAGTCCTTTGTATGCTGTCACTTGGAATGAGTTTTAGAAGTGAAGCAGCCCTTAAATACCACATGAAGATTCACATATGAGAGAACTGCTCTATATTATCAGTGTGGAAGAAGTTTCACAGACCGGAAACACCTGAGGAATCATGTAATAACTCACTGGAGAGAAGCCTTACATGTGCCATCACTGTGGGAAGACTTGCAAAACCAAAGCAAACCTTGAGGTTTATACGGAGCCCGGGAAGTCACCTGCTGGAGAGAAAAAACAATCCGTACCGATGGTTTTGCAATTCGTCCCCTCAGTTTATAAACTGTACTCACAAGAAACCACACTAGAGAGAAACCCTACATATGCCCACATTGTGGAAATGGTTTCATTCAAAAAGGACACGTCATAGACCACATAAGAATTCACACTGGAGAGAAGCCTTTTACCTGCCAACAGTGTGGAAATAGTTTCCGCCAAAAAGGATGCCTCAACAGGCACATGAAAACACACATTGGAGAGAAGTCCTTTGTATGCTGTCACTTGGAATGAGTTTTAGAAGTGAAGCAGCCCTTAAATACCACATGAAGATTCACATATGAGAGAACTGCTCTATATTATCAGTGTGGAAGAAGTTTCACAGACCGGAAACACCTGAGGAATCATGTAATAACTCACTGGAGAGAAGCCTTACATGTGCCATCACTGTGGGAAGACTTGCAAAACCAAAGCAAACATTGAGGTTTATACGGAGCCCGGGAAGTCACCTGCTGGAGAGAAAAAACAATCCGTACCGATGGTTTTGCAATTCGTCCCCTCAGTTTATAAACTGTACTCACAAATTCTTAAACTGTTCCCTCGGTTTAACAAATCGTGCCCATGGATCAATAAACCGTACCCCCGACTTTCCAATCCGTGTGCTCAGGCATCTGCGATCGGCTCGATTTGAGGAAGGGGAAATGACTTAACGAGATAAAAAAAAAATACTGGGTGGATCTTTATCATTGTATGGTGGTTGTGTACACACACTGCCAACACACATTTATGTTCAAACAGCTTGTAAAAGTGCATGTCGCATCCGATGACCCCTTTAAAGGGTTAGTTCACCCAAAAATGATAATAATCACTTTAATGTAGCTTGCGCCAGCAGTTGTACACAGAAGCAGTTCCGGGAGGATGACGTATGAGGTCAGCGTTGCGCATGCGCCGGTGAGTCTCGTGAAAACCAACGTTTGTTAACAGGAGCAAAGGAAGCAAAGTTTCCTTACTTTAGCAAAGGACAACCAGTCTCCTCTTGGCTTATATCAAAATCCTCAGACATTCTTCTTTACAAATCCTCGTTTTGTACTTCTAATTAGTGACCGTTCTTTTGTTTTGATCTCTCCCCTGCGCTTCCACGTTCGTCACTTCTGAGCAGCGCATGCGCAA